TATATTACGGTATGTAAAAATCGAATAAATCAAAAAAAAATCGATGTACATTGTCGTGATTACCCACGGTTGTTACAACGAAAAAAAAAAAAATCATTGCCAAACACATTGAAACAAATCGAACAAAGTACAGCTCGTTTACGAATAATCTTCTTGTTCGCTGTCAGCCTGCTGCATCGAGGCCATTTGTGCAACTGCTTGCAATTGTTGCCACTGTTGTTGTTCAGCAACTGCTTGTTCTTCTCTTGCTTTTGCAAACAATTCTTGTTGCTGTCTAAGGAGTTCTTCTTCCGGAATTCCTAAATTCTCTAATCTGGTACTCTGTCGTCTTCGCTTAGCCGCAACAGCTTTGCAATCTCGCAAGACTGCCTCAGCTTCTGCGCTGTAATCTCCGAATCCAAGCTTTTCGAGCGCTTGAAGCACGTGTTCGGCATTGATTGTTTTCTTCTGCTGCTGATTGCAAATTTCATTCGCTTCGGAGGAAAGTAAGTGAATAAATTCCGTGCAACAGTTTAATATCAATTCCCGGGACTCGTTTGCTACGCGTACGTGTGGTAAAATTTCCTTGATCATCTTGTTGATTGACGCACGTGGTAGAGTCAATTCGTCGTCTTCTGTCGGTGATATGGCAGCCGAGGCCATGTTTCTCTGCAAAGTTCGAACAAAAAATTAGCTCGCTTTTTTGACGCGTATCTCTGCGAATCGTGAATTTATTTCTGTCGCTTTTTCAACTTTTTTTAATTTTTACCGAGATTCTAGAATATATTCGTAAATATCGCGTGCATGTGTACGCTGATTGGTTTTTGAAATTATTCCAGGTATTTGTATATAACGCGGTAAAAAAGAAAAAGGAGAGAGAAATAAAAATAAAGGAAAAGATGCAAAGTAATATCTATATTTTTCCCTTTTTCTTGTTCCCTGTCTTTTCGGTACTTTGGATCCTTTCGGTACCTTGAATCAGCCAAACGCGACGATTGATACAAGACACGCGGATACAACTGCTATATTTAATATCGACTATCGAGCTTATCGTGTTATCGGGCACTTGAAAATTTCATTCCTCGCCGTGAGAAAAATTATCAGATAAATTGTTCGACGATAATACGTTCGCTCCACGTAAAAGAAGATAACTTTGACAATCCTGATTCCACGATTAAATACAGTGCAATCGTTCGATTACTCGTGTTTGTAATTCCGAAAATGATTATAATGGTTGTAATTCGGAAATGATTTTATAATTTGAAGATGTTAGTACGAATTCGATCGTCGTTGATACATGCTGTCTTCGTTTTATCTTATTTACGCGACGAGAACTATGCGGAAAATACGAACGAATTTGTTGGACCCGTGCGAAACTTGAGTGTGAAATTTCTACAAGATTTGAATTACTATAAAGAGAAGCAAGATGCGTATAATTTCTTAAAATTGAACGTATCTTGGTTGCCACCGAATAGCGCTAAGCAGCCGTCTTCTTACAGGTAAATCTTCAGTACGAGTGCGAATAAAAGAATATTTTGTCACTTCGTTGTTGATTCGTCTTGTTTTGTACTTGCACGCGATAGCGTCATAGTCACAGGGATATCGATAAGGGGAGAGGCAGGTGTCACGGAATGCCCGAAAGGATCATTTTTCTCTATATTAAAGGGTAACGCAAAACACAGCGTAGTGTTCCCTGAATACAATGATTCGTTTAACATCCCAGATCTGTATGTACGACCTAATTGTTCGTACAAGGTACGAGTCTTTGCCAATCCAAGATCGAGATATGTGCTAAACACGCCGGAAGTAAGTTATTCGGGGTATAAATATAATATATACGGCAAATGCAAGTGATTTCTGCAAGATGAGTGAAAAGTTTGCTTAAATTTTACAGGTCCTGTATACAGTTCCAAGTAATTGTGTCAATGCCAAAGCAACACTGCCAATTCCAAAAGTAAGCATTTCTCAAAGGGAAGATAAGATTGTTGTGACTTGGGGCCCTTCGACGTTTAACACGTCTGACGTTCAGTATTATAAAATCAGGTACGTACAAGGACGATTCGTCGTATCGTTAACACGCTTGTTCAAACATTTATTTCGTAGCGTTGGTATACCACTCTTTCTATCGAAGAAAGGATTACCCGTTTATAATATGACGGAATTAGCACCAATACCTGCGAGTCGAACTATATTTTCATGGGATTTGAAAGCTAATGATCAGCGCGCAAAAGTTAAAAATGGCTACAAAATAGCAGTCAATGCTGTCGATCGTCATGGATGCACTGGATCAGAAGGAGATATCGTTATACACTCGGTATCATCGACGAACCGTAATATAGTAAGTTACTACTTAAAATTACAACGCACGAACAAGTGTTGCAACATGTACATATGCTATATATCGTTGTTTGTTATAATATGTTTTTCACGTTATTTGTTTAGCGGCTCGTGTTAATTGGAATATCGACTGGTTGTATTCTGTTTGGAATTGCAAGCTTCCTATTGTGTCGTAACTGTAATTTCTTCTCTGTAGTACGTGAAAGTAGTAAGCCTGGAATGCGTGCAGTTTCTGGATACAAATGTAAATTGGCAAGAACGATGCTTCAGGTGTACAACACTTTGTACGTCAAATACGAATCAGAGGTAAATAGACGATTGTCATGTGCGCGTCAACTTTTTCTGCTACTGATAAAAATGATTTTCACAGGAAGGTTCGTGCATAGTAGATACGGACAATTTGAAAGTGCCGTTTAAAAGTGTAAGACTGATGCGTGAATTAGGTACTGGACAGTTTGGAAAAGTATATCTCGGTCATTTGGATGATAAAGATGAAACTTTAGTCGCTGTAAAAATGTCTCGACAAATAGATATATCCAAGGACTGTGAAACACGGCGGGAATTTATAAAAGAAATTGAAATAATGAGAATAGCTGGGAATCATCCTCATTTGGTAAGCCTCGTAGGCTACTGCATTCAACCGGCAGAACCAATATGTATCGTGCTTGAATATATGCAAGGTGGAGATTTGTTAACCTATCTGCGCGATCAAAGGAACCAACAACAATGTGAGAAGATTTGATCGTCGTGAAGTATCGTTAGTTCGTTGCAATTTCGTTATTACGATCAACGTGCTCCTGAAAAGCTAATATAATCTGAATTTCCAGTTTTGCGCGACTCTGTGTACTCTGCCATGCAGAACGGAACAAATAATTACGAGTCCGACCGATGTACAAACATTGCCAATAATCGTGAAGAAGGAATCGACGTTTCAAAAAGTAAATAGCTTATCGATTCGTAATTACAATTACGTTTGATACAATAACCTGAAGAAACCTGATGTAATTTAATTTTTAGCTTTGTACGCTACGATGTGTTCTGTGATACGGAATAAAATAAATAGTTTCGAATCTAGACGATATACAAACGTTGCTAGTAATTGTGGAGAAGCAACGGATAACGAAGGAAGTTGGATTGGTAGAATAAAAGGGCATCAGTTTTTAAAATTTGCTACAGAGATTGCCGCGGGTATGGAGCACTTGGAAGCTAAAAGGATTACTCACAGAGATCTCGCGGCGAGGAATATTCTTCTCGGTGCAAACTTGACTGTCAAGGTATTCGATGTAAAGTTTTTAACATTTCTAATTTCGTTTAGCCGAATATCTTTAACAAGGTCTAACAACGACATTCAGATCTCTGACTTTGGGCTTTCTCGCAATGGTATGTACGTAATAAAAAACGCGGAAGAAAAGACGCATCATCTGCCAATTAGGTGGATGTCGCCAGAAGCTTTGTACAAATTAGCCTTCTCTTCGAAAAGTGATGTGTGGTCTTTCGGAGTGGTACTCTGGGAAATTTGTACGTTAGGCGATTTTCCTTATGCGAACGTGCAAGATGATCGCGTATTCCGTCACATCGTTCACGAGAACGGACGTTTGGAACAACCAGACAACGTTCCTCCGAATGTTTACAACTTGATGCAATCTTGTTGGGTTACAGAGTGTGAGAACAGACCAAATTTTACGCAATTGCTCTCCGAGCTACGAATTCTAACCGCATCCTTCGTTCGCAATTCATTCCGAACGATACCTAACCCCTGTTACGCGCTGGCAGCACTGCCGGACAAAATTACATAATCTACTCTGTTTACACGTTTATTTCTGCACGTTTAAAAAACTTCTATCAACCATTTCTAACTAATCTTACACGTTTAAACACCCCAAACGGTAAGAAATATATAATTAGACGAAAGAAAAAAAAATAGATACGTATTACTTACGTTATTTCATCTGTCCTACTGTCTGACGCATTCACGGACGTTGCGATTGAATTACAATTTTTAGACGCAACGTCGAGAAACAAACGTCTGTACATTTAGAAAATTAACGACTACGTTGTAACAACGAAATACCTGTTTCTGCTTCCGATACAAATAAATTTCACTTTTCGTTTTTTCAAAACCTTCGTACTGTGCAAATCGTATTCAAATCGTATCAAAGAGAACGTAAGTTAAAAAGAAAAAGTAATAAATAATAGAGAAAACGAGAAATAAATTTGATAAAACGGATCGATGAAATTTGGAAACGGCCTTTTCGCAAGTTTTCGTTTTATGAAAATCAACCTTTCGATTTAGAGTTGAATCGATTGAACTTTAATCGATCGTTCGGTTTGAAAAGTTTAACCAGTTTGATGAAGCG